TAAATAATAAAAAAAAAAAAATTACAGGGAAAGAAATGAAACTTTTGTAGGGTTTGAACCAAACTAAATAACAGTAAACCTTTCTTTGATTTACGGTAATTTTTATTTTCATGTTTTGAGCTCTTTTGTGTCTAGAACAACATATACTAATTTTTAAAGTATCAAACTGAATTTTTGTTCAATAAAGATCTTTCAAATGCGACTGTAGCTTTTTTCCCCAAAAAACTTTGTCTTGAAAATAAGTGTGTCTTATATTCCGAAAAATACGGTACTTAGGCATTTCGTAGTGTAGGTTATGAAGATGAGATTACTATAGTTAGTATCTTATTATTCTTATTGGAAAATATAAGATATGCAGCTGTGGTGAACAGTGGAGCTAGTGATAATATCGATTAATTGTGATATTACTTTATTAGCCTAATGATTCGAGAAACGTCAAATATTGTCTATTACTGAAACTTAAGAGTGTGTATATATAACATTTTAAGGAATTATTTCGTATTTCAAGAGACAGACAAGTACTGTAAGGAATTATTTCGTATTTCAAGAGGAAGACAAGTACTGTGATACACACTTTGTGGATTTAATCTGTTCGATAATCTTAAGATAATAAATAGCTTCAAAGTAAGCAGAATCAGGTATATTTTCCCATATAACTTGAAACACCTACTCCCAGCATGTTTTTTTAGTCCTTACTATATCACATTTCTTACGAAGGCCTTGGCCTTGAAAAAATTCAACCTTGTTCAGATCTTCAAGTAGATCGGCTGAATTAACAGAAAACTGAGAAAACCCTTGAGAATATGAGCAATTAGCGAAACATCTATTACAATTCGCCATTTTCTTAATCTTGTAATCATTAAATTAAATACTTTGAATTACATGGCCTTCTGAAATCGTGAGGCATGCTTAGTCTTCAAAACATGAAAAGTGTGTCCTATTCCTCGTTTCGAAATAGTCATTTCCGTTGGTACTTAACACTCGCAAATGATCAGCCTTAACACACACACACATACGTATATATATATATATATATATATATATAGTCTACGAGTAAACCCAAATTAACAATAAGGGCATTTAGTGTTCCGGTAACTTATCACAGTTAAAGAAATTCTACAACTTATATGTCATTTACTTTCCGGGAAATTATTACAGTTGAAGGAACTCTAAAACTAGAATATCACTAAACTTTAAGGGAACTAATCACAATTAAATAAATTCAACAACTAGAATATTATTCAACTTTCCGGGAATTAGTTAAAAAGTCTAGTGGTTAGAACGCTCGATTCGCAAGCTACGGGTTTTGTGTTTGAATCCTATCACCGAACATGTTTACTCTTTAGCCATGGGGGCTTTATAACGTGATGGTCAGTCCCACTATTTTATTAGAATAGCCCAAGAATTGGCGGTGGGCGGTGGTGACTAGCCCTCGAATAGGTTTGCGTGAAATTCGACAAACAGTCATAATTAAATAATTTCTACAACTAGAATTGTACTTTTTTGGGGGGAAAACTTACATTAAGATAAATTTTATAGCCAGGATATCATGAGACGCCCTAGTTAAAAAACAAACAAACGATTTTATGTTTAGGTTTTGACCCAGATATCCAGGTTCTTAACATCATTCATCATAAGATCTTAAATACGCTTCTTAATTTTAAGAATTTCGCATGTTACAGTCTTAAATAATTGCGCTGTTTATTTCATTGATGCACCTTTGGCTCAATTTTTTTTGAGATAAATATATTAGACCCAAACTGTGCCGAATGTCTCTATTAGTCTAACTTGTATGTTATTAGACAGTAACGTGATGGTTTCATGTTTTTTGTTTTTGTAATTTCGCGTAAAGCTACTTGAGGTCTAACTGCCGTTCCTAATTTAAAAGTGATGAAAGGAAGCTATTCAACACTACCCACAGCTACCTCTTGAGTTACTCTTTACGAATGAATAGTGGGATTGACTGCCACATTATACTGCTCCCATGGGTGAAAGGGCGAGCATTTTCAATGACGGGATTCGAACTTGCGACCCACAGATTGCGAGTCGAGTGCCCTAACCACCAAACAACGCCAGGTCTAAGCTTTTTTTATGAATTCCAGATGTAATAAATTAATAAAACAGAAAACACTGACCATCTCTAATGCTAACAGTGTGGAAGTTCTTATCAAGGTAACATAACATAAAAGGTATCGGTAAAGATATTCGAGCCGAGCGTGCACTTGTGGTTAGAGTGCCGAGCTATGGTCCATTATTTAGGAGCCATTACCGTAAAAACAACAACAACAAAATCCTCTGCTCTTTGGACCAATTATAAAGGTGATGGTTAAATCACATTATTCGAACAGACAAAAGTGACACAAGAGCAGGCGTAGGGTGCTGTTGACTAGCTGGCTTCTCTCTAGTCTAGAACGACTATGGTATTTTCAGGTAAACCTGATTTCACGACAAGTATCAGACAAGCAAAACAGTAAATAACAGCAGATTCAATCGAGAAATAAGGGGAGCGTTCTGTAGTAGATAACTTGATTGACTTTTAGTTGAATGATAAATAAATAGATTGGACACATTTAAATGACAATGAAAACAATCTTTATTTAGATATAACATAAAAATTAGTGTGTATGCCTGTATAGACAAGTAAATAATCGCTTCTAATCGTAGATAGTTCGCCAGCTTTCCATCTCAAGATGAATATCTGCTGAACTATTCATGAAGAAAGCCAAATAGGACTGAATTAGATTTTTTTTGTCCAGTGGATGGCGTCATCTCATGACATCTATCCACTGACAGCTATGAACTTTACTTGATGTTAGAGTTTGGCCAGCAAAGGTCTTTGTTTGAAATTAATCACAAAGCTACACAATGGGCTATCTGTGCTCTGCTCACCACGGGTATCGAAACCCGGTTTCTAGCGTTATAAGTCCGCAGACATAACGTCGTGCCACTGGGGGTGGGGGGTGGCCAGCAAAGGATATTCCAGTTTTAATTAGTTTTAATCCAGGCTCAAAATACACTGAAATATCCTTGCGGGCAAAATACCTCATCTTACAAAAGAATAAAGGGCTGAGGTGGTTAAAAAAGATAATATTAGACTTCTTGAACTTCGTTTTGCCGCCATGACTGTACATAAATTAAATAATAAATAATTTTGAATAATTTTCTGCTACTATAAAAGATGAAGGAATATGATATGCTTGCCTGTCACACGGCTAGCGCATACAATTCTTGAATAATTTTGCGCAAATATCCGAAAACAAATTACAAGATTCAGTAGCAAAAATACGCTTTTCAACCTAAATGGCACCTTAATTATGTACATGTGAGTTCAACGGCCAAATTAGAGACTCTAGGATTCAGGTATTGTTTGTTTACGAACAAAGCCACATTGGACTATCTGCAGTGTCCACAGCGAGGATTAGAACCACGGATCCTAGCGTTGTAAGTCCGAAAACTAACCGCTGTCCCTAATTTTGAACTAGTGATCAGAGAGTGAGCCAACCAGCCAATAGCAATGCCGCCACAAATGTTTTGACCATCTCTTTGAATCAAATTATTAGGACTTGCTGTTACTTCTAAAACGCCTCCCTAGCTGAAAGTGTGGGGCATATTGAATGACATCACATCGTTCCAAAATTTTGGATTAAAACTATTATCTAATCAACAGTCTCTCTCTCTCTCTCTTTGCTATTTATATTATATATATATGTGTCTATATAGAACTGTTGTTTGTACTTGATGGAATATGGATCTTATGGGAAAAATTAAGAGACCTTTATATCTTGCAAAACTCAGAATTCTGATATTTTTTGCTTAGTAATCCTCGAACTATGTTTGAATTTTGGTGCAGTGTTAGAATGTTGAGGGAGACAGAGGAAAACATTTTTAGAATTGTTAAAATAAACATCACTTTCGTTTCAATTTAGCAAAGGCGTGTGCATAGCCATTTGGCCCACCAGCCTTGAATTTTAGCTTACCACTATGACCTAAAATAGCAGTGTTGAGCTTAAACATTTCTGTAAATAAATAACTTTTATCATGGTTCGTCTTTTTTTTTCTAATCAGTTTAAATCTGGCAGTCTAATTCAATTACCATAAGAGCACGGAGGTGTACTGACCCCAAATTAGGGCAGGGGCAATATTGCTTGAACGTGATATAGACGGCGCCGTTTCAATGCCCTGCCCCACCAGTTATTTCCGCTTAAAGAGAGGTCTGCTTAGCTCACTGGAAGCACATGTGTACAGTTCTGGTCATACTGATTCTA